GGAAGTATTACTTGACTATGTTCCTCCGTGAGGCATATACGTTATTTTTTGAGAATAATAAAACAATTAAAATTTGTTTTTCCAAATTTTGTGCTCTCCGTCCACCTAATGTAATGCTTTTAAAAAATACACCAGCTGATCAGTCTAAATGTGTGATGCATGAAAATTTAATACTACGTTTGAGCGGATTGGGCATTGTGTTTAAAAATAATTGGTGGAATGATATTTTGTGTTCTTCTAGTCTATTTGATATGTCCAAGTCCTGTTGGAAAAACGAGTGTAAATTATGTAAAAACGGCTTTTATATAAAATCTAACAAGAACGTGGAAGACATTGCAATTTGGTACAAATGGATTAATGAGTACGCCAAACGTGACAACATTGCTGAATCAAGAAACGACTGCGCAAGATTCAGCAGCAGGGTACTGTTGGAGAACTTATTGGTGTCATTTAGGAGAGTTTTGAAAAGGTTGTAAAGCATGTGCGGGTAAAAAGAATCCAAGCTAAACAATTTTCTGAAGACAAAACAAAATGTACCTCCAGAATCCTGCAAATAGATTTTGCAATGCCATATTCATGCAAATATCAATCTGAAATCCAGTCAGCTGTGTGAAGCAGATCTAGCGTTACTCTTTTTACAGCAGCTACGTTTGCAAGGGATACACAACAAGGTTTTATTATTTGCTCCGATACTCTGAAGAAAAACAAGGATACTATTTTTGCATTTCTTTTTGAAGTATACGATTATATTATGAAATTGCCTGATTCAAATTATTACAATGAAGAAATCATTTGGTCGGATGGACCATCGTCTGAATTTAAAAATAAATACTTATTGCGTTTGTTGCAACTTCTGGTCTGTCGATATCACAAAAATTTTCAGTGGAAGTATTTCGCCACTTCCCATGGAAAGGGGGTAATTGACGCAATTAATGAGAAAGCAAAATATCTCGTACGTCAAAAAATTATGTCAAAGGGAGCTAACACCATTGTTCAATCATCTAAGTATTTTGCTGATTTGCCAACCGTGTTAATGCCTAAAACGATAATTTTTCATGTTGAGTAAGAAGAGATTGATAAGCTAACCAGGGAATTCAACTCATGGAGTAATGTAAAAGATGTTAAAGGCGTAAAAATTGGTGTGTCGTTAATTACAATGTATCAGAATTTCCTGGACAAGTAAAAGAATGTAAAATCAAGTTTTAGTATCCACAGTTGAAAAACATTTGTTTGGGAACTCATGGGTTTGACCAACTTAATCTGATGTGATGCTTAACGATGAAAGTCAAGTTCTTAAATAAATTGATCCCCTGTCATTCGCTGGTTCAAAAACCCGAACATATATGGTGTTTTACTCCACAGACATTTAAATTTTTATAACCATGAACGTCTAAACTCTTTAACTACTCATATTTCGCATGCTTGCATTTGTAATCACAACGCTTTTGCTATTATAATTGTGAAATGATTGCTTTTATTAATTATTTTGCACGCGGTAACGCACGTAACAATACTGGTAACACACGTAACGATGACAAATTGTAAATTGAATTCGCTATTAAAATCTTTTCTCCAAATCGACTTTATGGTTTTGTTAAGCGGCATCCTTAATAACAAGTTGCACATTTCGGTTTTTCAATATGCAACCAATTCACAGATAAGCCTTGTCAAAATTTACTTGTTAAAATTTTAGATTTGTGCAAATCGCATGTAATGATTTTTGATTTATAATTTGAGATAAGAAATGCTCAACTTTTTATAACAAGTTTTTGAATATTTTTTGTTGTACGGTTTAAATAATATTTTGCGATAAATTGCAATTTCACAAAGCATTATGCTGAAGTATGAAACATAGGTTTATGAGTTTAACTATTGTTCAAAAGTAACTTACGATGGAATCAGTCTATGCCTTATTTTGTTCTGCGTTTATTTTACTGATTACAAAGAATTTTTATCTTTAGATTCAGGGCAACTTTCAAAATCATAATTTTCTGGTATGTAATAAATTGTAAGAGTTTCTTCTTGTGAATCTTCTTGAAGTGTTTGGACTAGTGATGTAATTGAAACAAGTTTGCCGTAGTACTTTACAATTTGTTCATTATATTCATTATTGATATAAGGAATATCCTTTGGCAATATTTTTTGTTGAGGTGCAAGGGGATTATCATGCAATGGTTTTTCATAAGAATTAAGTTCTTTATATAACTATATGGCTTTTAAGTACTTGTTTTTAGCCTGTGCTACACTATAACTGCCCTCTTTAATAGAAGCATCAATAGCGTCTTGTTTTATTATTCCAAGACCACTTCGAACACTCAAGTGACCTTCTTAAAGATCAAACTTTTTCCTTAAATATTTGGCTAACTTAAAATACTTTTTAGCATCTTCGCCTGTTTTTTTTTTTGATTTTTTGTTTTTTTTTATAAAACGTTTACAGTTTTATAAATTTACACTATCTCTGGTTACTAAATAATCTCCTTTTTACAATATATAGGTTTTACAAGTGTTTTTATAATATATAACTGTTTTTTTTTTTGTTTTTTTTTTTTTTAATAATAAGTATTACAACTCGTTTTATATAGACATATGTTTATATTTTTTATTTTTTTTATTTTATATTTTTTTGCGTTTTTTGATTTTATATATTTTTTTTATTTTTAGATTTTATATTTTATTGTGTTTTTTGTTTTTTATTTTTGTGCCGCTGTGCGGAAAGAAATCAAGAATTAGAAAAAGGTTTCAGAAGAAGTTGATTAAGATTAAAAAATTATTTTAAGTGAAAAAAGATTTTATTTAGTAATGTAAAAAAATGGTACAGGACTTTAACACAAATACCACATTACGAAAGCTACAGAGAAACATACAAATAGTATTATATATTATAAACTAAGGGTAGTGGTTGTCTAATCATAAATAACAATATTTTTGTTGTAAAAAAATATATATATTTGCAGAGAACAGGAACACTTAACTAAACACTAGTTCTTGCTATGAGCCAGTGTATTTGTTCAGCTTATATGTTTAGTTTCAGGTTCCCATTCTCTATTTGACAAAAAATGTTATTGATACAAAAAGTTTGACAGAAAATATCCGCAGTGTTTCACGGACATGATAATTATATTCTAGAGTAATAATGTTTCTGATATTTCGATATTAGCGTTTTGAAAAACAGCTGCAGCATATATTTATAGTAAAAAAATAAATGTAGCAAAAAAAGCTTTTAATTGTCAAAAGAAAGTTTTAAATTTTTTTCTAGCTACGGGCTTTTTTTTTTTTTTTGCCTTCACAGCAGCACCTTCTTGAGTAGCAGGACTTTCTTATTTATTTAATATAGTTTTTTCTTTATTTAGTTTCAAACAACTTTTTTTTCAGACCATCCGCAGCTTATTAGGATTAATTATCGCATTAATAACATAAGTGTCTCAATCAGCATACATACGCAACAATTTTTTTCTCCCGGTGATGTTTTTTTTGTTTGTTGATGTTTTATGAAAATTTAGCTTTCCTAAAATCTTTTCTTTTGTGAAAGTGTATAATATCGTTACGTTACATATGTTTTTATATAATCTTTATAAAACTTCAAAATTATTTTGTATTTTAAAATCATCAAAAAAAATTTTTAAAAAAAGCCGCCATTGGTAGGAATCAAACCTCGGCTCACTTATTCAGAAGCTCGGCGCCTTATTTACTCGGCCACACTGGCACATGTTCAAGCGAATATTTTTAAAACAATGTAGTAATTTTTTAAGGAAAAAATGTTGTAGATCAAAATTATAGATCGAGGGTTTGACGCAATGCAATTTTTAAGTGAAAATCAAACTGTAAAACTTGATAAATGTTTCAGTATGTTTTAACATTACTTAATTTAAAGTTTACGTACGTTTGATTTTTGGATACGCGTTCGTTCACGTTTTCTTAAATAACAAAGTGCTGCGACTTTTTCTCGCCATTACAATGCTTGCAATGGCTGTTAAGGGTACCATGTCAAACAGGCTCAAAAGCGCACTAGTACTATTAAGTTTGGCAATTATATATAATAGATAGATAATCATTCATTTCTACTAAATGAATGAAAAAATAATTAAAATTTCAAAAACGGGACAAAATACTTTAAAAAATCACAAATTTATTCATAAAAAAAAAACAGGTGTTGTGTCATAAAAATTAATTGAACTATTCTTAGTTGATCATTTTAGCCCATCTGAAATCTTAATGATTAACAAACATACACTAAAAATTTCAGCCAAAAAACTTTACTAAATCTTGAAATATCATGTTTAAGTTGCAAAAAAAGAATGAAATTAAAAATTTATGAAAACAACGACCAAAGTTTTCCGGCATATAGAAATTATTAGCAAAACAATGAAACAGACCAATAAAAAAGTTAAAAATAAGATTATCTGATAATATGAATACGCTAATTTAATATTATTATTATTAGTCGAGTTACGTCATTTTCTTGGCTTTTCTATACGCGGTTTTTTTTTTTAATTTTATTTACTAACAACGCGTATTAAGGTGAGTTTCCACTCATCCGTTTTTCTACGGGAACGGGAAAAATACGCATGCCCATGTGATTATTTTTCCCGTTCCCGTGAAAAAACGGATGAGTGGAAACTCGCCTTAACGGGTTGCTTACTGCTAGGAGTATTTTATGCAAAATGTACAATTATTTTCTGAAAGTATAATAAATTTCGCATCGAATGGTATATGATAAAAAAATTCGCATTTTTTTTTTAAATTAAGTATTTATTTCTGTATGAGCCACCTTAAAAATGTTATGATAGTTGAGATTTAAATTGAAAAATGAAACTTAACGCTATAACCATAGTCAGTGCCGGATCAAGGGGAGGGGGGGCTATAGCTCCAGGCCCCCCAAAATTTTTGAGGACCTTTTTTTTTTTTATTCATTTCTAGGCTCTGGCCCATAAAAAAACCTCCAAAAACAAAAAAAGCCCTGGGCCCCAAGAAGTAAAAATTATGAAACATAACATTAATACTATGGTTTGTTCAATTTATTTCGTAAAAATTATGAAATTTAGCACTATATAATTATGGTTTGTTCAATTTTATTTTGTAAAAATTAATAAAAATTATTAAAAATGAAAATTTGAACTAGAATACTGAATACTTATGTTTCGTTTTGTTCTATGTTTATTTTACCAAACACAGCAAACCTTTTTAAGCAATATTAGTTCATTAAACGTCATAATCATAATTTTCCGGTTTGTAAGCAACTGAATAAATCTCTTCTTGAGAATCTTCTTGAGAATTATTGATTAGTACTATGTCACCATATTCTATTTCTCTATGAATTTTTTTATTTAGACTGTCTCTTATATTTTTTATCTTTTTGATTTCTTTTAACTTATCTTTATCCTTAGGTGAAGCATCAATTTCTTTTTTGAGTACCTTCATCATTCCGTTAGCACTATCTGGTTTAGTGTAATCTCTATCTAAGCTTTTACTATATGCATCAGCAAATAATAAGTAAATGATTTCTAAATTGCTTTTCTTTTTATAAGATTTTTCTTTACATTCATTTACAACATTTTGTTCTACAAGCTGCATTAGCTTCATTAGCTCACTAGGTTCTACATTAGCATCATTTAATTTAAGTAAAGCATTGCCCAATGTATTAAATACAGAGGCGCTTTTTTTATTTTGCACCTCTTGTAGTTTATCAAATAAACATTTTGTGCATTCTATAATTTCTCGTGTGTATTGAACTTTTTCTTCTGGGTTTGGTGTAATTGAAACAAGTTTGCCGTAGTATTTTACAATTTGTTCATTACATTCAATATTGTTATAAGGATCATCCTTTGGCACTACTTTTTTTTGTTGAGGTGCAAGGGGATTATCATGCAATGGTTTTTCATTAGACTTAAGCTCCTCATATAACTCTATGGCTTTTAAGTACTTGCTTTTAGCCTGTGCTACACTATAACTGCCCTCCTTAATAGAAGCGTCAATTGCGTCTTCTTTTATTATTCCAAGACCACTTCGAACACTCAAGTGACCTTCTAAAAGATCAAACTTTTCCCCTAAATATTTGGCTAACTTAAAATACTTTTTACCATCATCCCTTGTACCTGGTTTTTGATATATGTAAGTTCTACCTAAATGGTAAATTATTTTTGTATAAAGAATTGCTATTTCTTCGGGTTGGTTATCACGTTTTGGAAGTATGTTGTATATTGATTGTGGATCAAGATTATTAAAGTATAGTTCTGATCCTTCTTTGTATGGAATACAATTTTCAGCAATATCTTTGCATGATTGTAACAAGTCACGAGCTGCTTTACCATCGTGAAGTTTATACATAAAATGATTAGACAAAGAATGCATTGTGCGAATGCAATTAATAACTTTATCTCTAGTAATTTTATTAGCAATGTAATCATCTTTTATAGAGTCTTCTGCACCAAGTTTTTTAAAATCTTCAATTGCATTTCGAACTCTATCAAATGTATCTTCATTGTTTTGAGCTGCTGATGATTTTGATACAAGATCTGGTGATATTTTATTAGCATAATTGGATAATTTTTGATAGCTCTGTGTAACCGCATCAGAAAATCTTTGACCTTGATTATCATTGTCTAAAGTAAACTTTAACTCGCGATCTACAGCAACTAAAATTGATAACCAGTTGTTTAACTGTTCTACTGTCAAATCCTCATCTCCGTTACTTTCTATTATTTTATTTGGGTTAGTATTATCAGGGTCAGACTTAATAACATATTGTTTACGAATAACATTTAGTTGCTTATTGATTAGCAAATTTTTGCACGAAAAATCTTCCCGTAGGTTAGCTAATGCCTTCAAGTAGCGTAAAGATGGTTTATCAATTCTGTCTTTGAATAGGTTTACCTTGTCAACATCATAACGGCCATTATATTTCAGACCAAATTCATTTTCAGGGTTTGTGATATGAAACTTGGGGAGTTCGCCTTCAGAAATTTGCTTTAGATATTTCCAACATTCTAGTTGTTGACTTTGGTCAATTCTTCCAGTTAAAATATCACCCAATAAATTTAGTATGCTGATAAGAGTGCAAGATTTTAATAGATTATTTAACCTATCTTTTGTATCAAGTTCTTCTTTATTGGAATTGTCTTTACTAGCTTTAGAAAACAACTGAGTGACCACATTTAAACCTGTTTGTTTTTTAGGAGTATACTCAATAACAGGCCAATTTTTTATTTGTTGATATTCTTCTGGTTTACCAGTTACCGGATTAAAAGTTTCAATTATGGGATCAAGACTGTGACTGAATATTGAACTTATTGGTTCTATATCTACTTTTTTGACTACATTAATCAAACCAAAAGCTTTTACAAGTAACTCAGGTATTTTTACTTTAGGAAACAGCCTATACGATGTACCTAAATGTTGATTACAGGTATTGACAAAATTAGGAGAAGATAGATAAGTCACTATATCTAAGTTGCCAGCATTTTTTTCAGTGTCTTGGTTACAAATATTAGAAGAAAAACGTTTAATACCTATTGATCCAGGGCTATCAAAAGTAACAGCTTTAGCTGGATAAAAAAAATCAGCTGCACAAAAATAAACACTGAACTCAGCCAACCAAGCTCCAAGAGAGTGGCCGGTGATTGATAGCTGATATCCATTTTCTTTAGCGTATGCTACAACCTCTTTAGTAACAACGTAATCTTGTACCAACTGAGCAACTATTTCTTTCCCTAATATCCCAATAATATCAGTCCTTATAGGGGAATCAGATTTGAATATATCTTCAATAGTTGCTGTAGTTCCTCTATGAGCAAGTACTATCTGGTATTCTGACTCGTTAGTGAAACTTGCGGCATAGTATTTTCCAGCTTCAGGTTTATTGTATACTTTTTGAACTTTCCAATTTGTTAAATACTGATTGTATTTAATTTTATCATCTGACTTAAATTCCACTTTTTCTCCTGGTTCAGAGTTTTTGTAAACGTATGAACTCAGCAATGCATGAATAAAATCATTTGGGTGTTTTAAATAGTTTTTGTTATTTTGAATAATTTTTTCTTCGATTTTTTGCTTTAACATCACACTAACAGGATCAGTTGGTGTATTATCCCCCCAAATAATATGATTTACACGTTTGTTTTGTTCAATATTTTTCCATAGATCTTGGATTTTGGAAGGTGTTAATGATAATTTGCTTAAATCAATGACTCTACTATGATTAGTTCTAAGCTCGTTGGTATTTGAGCACAATGCTACACAACTTGCGACAGTCCACGTTATATACTTAAGCTTCATGTTTTTTTTACTAGACAAGTAGATACCAATTTTATTTGATATGTATACTCTTGTATTTTGTACTATATGTATAAGAAATCATACCAAAACGAACTAAAAAACAATACAATATTATCAACTTTACTTTTAATCTAAATTGTTCAGAACAATTTTACATCAATTTTTTAACCCTAATATATATTTATACTTTATAGAAATCGTAAAAAAAGAGTCCGGAAAAACTCATACAAAAAGGCTCAAAAAATGATGAAAAATTATTTAAAACAAAAATAAATAATTTGCAAAAAACATGCACGTATTAATAATTTTGCAAAAAACATGTAAACTTATTAATGTGTTATTGTTATTATTATTTATTATACAACAATATATAAAATGATTCTATAATTAAAAAAAAATAAAGTAATATATAAAATAACGTTAAAAAATATTTGTTTATTTTTTCTTTAATTTATTTATTTAGATGCCCCGAGACGTCTCTACGGCCTTATCACAGAGCACCGCGAATGAGTATTTAATTGGAAGTTCACGCCTCCTTCCTGACCGATATTGCAAAGGTTACCCAGAAGTGGGTTTTGAACCACGGATCCTTTGTTTCTGAGGCAAGTGCGTTACTGCTGCGTCACGGCTACTATTCACAGCATCGAAAATTACATATTAAAAATTGTAGACTATTCTACAAAACTTATAAAAACAATACTCTATAAAAAAATACTTTTCTATGAAACAAAATGCGTTTAAAATAACTATAAATTGATTTCAACTTTATTAGGTATACCATTATACTGAAAAATGTGGAAAGTGTTCTTGTTTTGTTCTCACTTGTATCACTCTGCTTTAACTGTTTTTTAAATGAATCAAAACAGTATAAAAATTGTAACATACCAAAACAAAGGGACCTTTTATCTTTATACCAACATACAGCACTGCAGTTTAATCATACATGCTTATGCGAAAATATAAACTAAGTTTTGCGGAAATATAAATTAAGAGTTTAGCGAAAATTTAAATTAAATTATGCGGAATTTTAATCTAAAAAATGTGGAATATAAAATATAAGAAAAATATAATACAAGAAAATCAAAATAAAAAAATCTAAATGAGGAAATATGAAATTAAAATAAGAAATTAAAAAAAAACTATGTTTTATTAAAATGTTTTATTAGATAAATTCATTCCTTGCGTTTTGCTTCATTTCATATTTATATTTTATGATTTTGATTTTCTTATTTTAATTTATTGTTTTTGCATATTTTAATTTATATTTCTGCATAAATTAACTTATATTCCAGTAAATTGTTCATTTCGAATTCTGGTTTTAGTTAGGAAAGTTGTTACGTTTTTATAATTAGTCCTAAGACCCAGGTTGACATACTTTTGAAGAAATTTTTTTTTGACAATATCAGAGATTTTACCTCAAATATTTGGAATATGAACCCTAATATTTTTAATACCTAACGTGATAAAAGAAAAAGGACTGTATATTTGAAATCAGTATGAAGAATGCTTTAAGAAAAACATATTGTGTACAAAAAAAAAGTAAAATTTTGTTGGCCTGTGTAATCATGAAAAATTTTTCTCTTTTCATCAAAAGTTTTTCTCTTTGAAAACATTATATCTATTGCGTGCCATTTTGTCATCTTTTCAGCTATAGTTTTTTTATTTTCAAAGTATAATGCAGCATAATAATGTTGGATCTACACAAAGTAGTTTATGTAAAAAGTATCAAATTTTGGTTAGTTAGGATATAATTAACCAAAGGAGTTGTTGAAACTAGGACTACAAGTACATTTAGGAAGACGAAAAATACTCATCACGCTGATTGTAGTGTTATTAGTGCATTAAAAAAAATCCACTCGCTAGTACTATAGATACAATTGGAACTCGATAATTCAGAAAATAATTTATACCAACATTTGGATGAGCTATTTTACCAAATACCATCCATATCATAAAATTAACAAAAAGTCACGTTTGGATTTTGCAAAGGCTCGCCGATAGTACAGTGTACAATTGGATGGTAGTTCAGAGGAAACGAATGTTATGGTTGTTTGAGTCAATTAAACTAAAACTTTTTTGTATTAAAACTAAGGTGGTATTTAGTGTACTATATTGTTTTTATAAACTTTAACATGCGTTCCCATAGTTTTGGCGGACAGTACACGTCAAATAATAATCAAAGATTTTGCAATTTTAACTGAGATTTTAGGCATTGCTCTCATAGGTAACCTTTGATTTTATAAAATTATTAGCATTATTTAATTTCTAATTACGGGTCTTAATTAACAGTTTACTTAACACAATAACAACTTACTCATGAATACTCAATAGCTACATGACTAGAGTTTTTCGGTTCCGAGTACCCGGACTCTGACTCGGCGAGTCTGTAGGTAAATACCCGGATTTGATACTCGATTTAAGGCTCGGCGAGTCTCATGATTTGAGCGTTCGGCTTTGTTTCGTACGTAGCAGCACTTCGTCGAACTGTATCCCTTCCTTTTCTTGAAAACCCTACAGTAGTAGGGTTTGTGAATTACCATCCTATCTAGCTTGAAACTTAAACTTGAACTTGACCACGGCTTTTTAGATGTTTTGAGAACCTTCAAGTTTATGTATGTTCCCATGTATGTCCGAATACACACAAACTGCATAACTTCAATCAAATGGGTTTATATCAATCTGATAATATGAATACGCTAATTTAATAATTGATTCGTATTTCTTTTAAATTGATTCGTATTCCTTTTAAATTGATTCGTATTTCTTTTAAATTGATTCGTATTTCTTTTAAATTGATTCGTATTTCTTTTAAATTGATCCAGAAAAGGTGTAGATGTCTAACTTGCGGGATTTTATTGGACAAAAAGTGAAGCCGCTTTTTTTTGTTTATAACAATAGTGCGCCATTTGTAAAAAGGGCAAAAGCTGAAGGCGAAATGTAAAATAAAAGTTAAAAATGCACGTCAAAAGTTCCCAATAAATTAAAGATAATTCAAAAACACGGTTTACCAATTATAAAATACTTTTAAAAGTTTTTTTATGAGCCTATGTTTATTAACAAGTATTTTAATTGATAAAAATGCTTCAAAATAGTAAGACGTTTTAATTTACTATTTAAAACTTTAATCCCTTTTTAATCGAAAACAAATTAAGGAATCATAAATTATTTTTTTACAAGTATTATAATTTCCGCTTAACACTTTTACGTAAATAGTATTTGAATTTAAAATATATTTACTTCATCTAAGAAAAGAAAAGTTAAAAATATTTGTTTACAAATTTAATCCGCCATTTGTAAAAAGGGCAAAAAGCGGCTTCACTTTTCGTAATGAAGTTAGACATCTAGTTATATAATATATCATTGGTTTATATTAGCGATAGTTTTAAAAGCTAATATAAAAACTTTTGATTAGAATGATTGAAGTTAATAAGTTAATTCTTTCAGCGCGTATTTAAAAAACTTATAAAAAACGCTTTTCATTTATTAATTAAATGGTTTTCTCCCTTTAATTAAATTCTCCCTTTTTGGAAAAAAGTGGAGTATTATAATTTTAATGACGATGAAAACTCGAATAAATTGCGGTAAAAACCAATATTAAGAAGAGCTATTACCTTCTCTTGTAAATGGTACTGTGCCTTAAAAGAAAATATAAACATTTACTAATGATTTATTTAATGGGGATGAAGAACAGCCAAAATACATCTTATGAATAGGAACATTCAACTGAAAATAACGAAATTACAAAAGGAAACGCACAAGCATTAACACTGGAGCTGCATAAAATATTAGAGTAAGAAGAACTACATAAAATATTATAAGTGCAAAATGTCAAATTTTGCCAGGTTGTGACAAAAGAATCGTATTGAAATCGTTGTTGGCTCTAAATAATAAATAAAATTTTTTTTTAAATTTGCCAACTGACTGGTCTAAAGGTCTACATTTCGTCCCCTCAGTATTATCATTTTCTATCTACAAATATAATAAATAAACTGTTCTATGTAATATGTAAAGTAAATTAAAAAAAAAAAAAATACATATAATTAAATGCAATATATATATATATATATATATATTTTTTGCCATATAAATTATGACTTGACTTATACCGACTTGTCAAAAAGGGTCAAATTTGCCAACTAAATGAACAAAATTATTATTAATGAGGGGGGGGGAGTTTCACCCTAAAAGCAGCAATTATTTATTAGTTGTAAAGCTTTTAAAATGATAAAAAATGAAAAAGATTTATTATTTAAACATGTTCAAACATTAAACTTTCAAAAAAGTAACATACTTATACAAAATACACGCCCATACACCCATACACCTTAAAAAAGAAATAACTACGAAAATAAAAACTATTTGTGTTTTATAATAAAATACTTTTATACAAACAAACTTAAAAATTTATTCTAAAAATTGTAGTAAATGTAGTATATGAATAATTTGTTGTCCCAATATGCCCAACAAAGTCTGAAATTAAATTGAAACTGAAATTAAATACTGAAATAATTACTATTCAAAAAGATCTGTTTCAGATATTATTTTAAAACCAGATTCTAAAGAAAGATAAAATATACTGTCTGAAAAATATAGACTTTTTATAAATAAAGCAAATTAGCAATAGTTTATGATAAATCTTTTGTCGTTGTATTGCTCAATAAAATACGCATATTTTGTTTTTTGCAAACTAAATGATACGTTTTGGTACTTTTAATGCATTATGGTGTTGTGCATTTTTTTTCTTACAATAATGAAACACAATAATTTAAAATGTTTTATCAAAAAAATATTTTTTAGCTGAAATATAAGGCTTCAGGCATAACTATCCCGTTATGCCCCACTGTCCCAATATCCCCGGCTCTACCTTAAATTTAAATTTTATTTATATAGTTTATATATATATATATATATATATATATATATATATATATATATATATATATATATATATATATATATATATATATATATCGCGAGGTTAGAATTATTTTGTTCTATCTCCACTTTTTGAAATGTACCTTAAAATAATGTACCTCAAAATAATGTTTTTCTACTATATTAAAATCTAAGTTAAAATCAAAAAAGTTTCGGAGAAAACTTAAATAATAAAAATCTTTTTATATGCCGTCTCCTAAAGTTTTTATTTTTTAAATCGTTTTATCTCGAAACAAAAAAATGTGGAGATAAAACAAAATAATTCTAACCTCGCGAAATATATATATATATATATATATATATATATATATATATATATATATATATATATATATATATATATATATATATATATATATATATATATATATATATATATATATATAGTATATATTTAAACTATATAAAAAAAATAATGTACCGAGATATATATATAGTTTAAAAAAAAAAAAGTTTTAAGCATTATGTTTTTTGGTCTTTTATGTTCAATATGTTTTGTTATATTTGGAACTTTTTTACTCAGTTTTAGTATTTTGATGTTTTATTACGCATGAAAGAAGCAATTCCCTTCCCCTCTTTTATTAAACCTGACCCCGATTAATAGATTTGGATTAAAATTACTTCCCCTCCTCTTTTTATTAATCCCTCCCACACCCTCCTTGTATTAATATATATATATATATATATATATATATATATATATATATATATATATATATATATATATATATATATATATATATATATATATATATATATATATATATATAATATATATATATATATATATATATATATATATATATATATATATAATATATATATATATAATATATATATATATATATATATATGTATATATATATATATATATATATATATATATATATATATATATGTATATATATATATGTATATATATATATATATATATAAAGTGAAGTCGCTTTTAGCCCTGGCGGATTAAATTTGTAAACAAATATTTTTAACTTTTTTTTTCTTAAATGAATTTAATATATTTTAAATTTAAATACTATATACGTAAAAGTATAAAACGGAAATCGTAATACTTATAAAATAATAATTTATGATTCCTTAATTTATTTTCGATTAAAAAAGGATTAAAGTTTTGAATAGAAAAGTAAAACGTCTTACTATTTTGAAACATTTTTATAAATTAAAATACTTTTTAATAAACATAGGCTCATAAAAAAACTTTAAAAAGTATTTATAACTGTTTTGAATTATCTTTAATTTAATGGGAACTTTTGATCACATCGGCTTCAGCTTTTGCCCTTTTTACAAATGGGGGACTATTGTTATAAACAAAAAAAAGCGGCTTTACTTTTTGTCTAATAAAATCCCGCAAGTTAGACATCTAGTTATATAATATATCATTGCTCTGTCCATTTATAACTAAACAGATGTTTACAATAGGTAAGGAAAAAAATATAATCTAAAATATTCAGTAACAAACTCTTATGGATACTCTCAGTATCATCAATATTTGATAAACTGATATTGTTGTTAACATCTATGTACTCAAAAATACCAAAATGCATTGCGCAAGATAATTTAAAATGAAAGGGGAATCGTCAAATGCAACCCAATAAATTCAAGAAAAGAATTTGGCTAAAGGTAAACTAGATGCGTTTTTTTTTTGCAAATGAAATTTCAGGCTCGTTCGTTTTTTCTTTTGAAGAAATTTGTTTGAAAAAAAAAAGGATTTATATTTCACGTTAATGAAAAATACGTATTGTGGTAAAAGTTGAATATTTTAATTTTTTTGAGTTTGTATTTTTTTAATCAGTTTGTTAATAGAAAAAAAAAACACATATAAAAAGCCATAATTATAACTTGCTTAAAAAAATTAGTTTACGAAACGTGTGAATAGCGCATTTGATTTTTTAAACAATCACACCCTGTGAAACTCATAATCAAACTTATCTGAAAAGATCAAAAAAAATTTTCTATGGAAGAGAGGTTTTAAGTGCATGTAAAAGTGTTTTTAAAATCTTTTAGTTTTGTCCAAGACAGATTTTTGCGTTTAAACAGGTAAATTTTGGATTTTTGTGTTCGAGATAGCTATCTTCCAATAATTTTGTCTTTTTGTTTCCTGTTTAGAAAAATAATTTTTTAGAAAAAAAAACTACACTATCCTAAAACAGACTAAAGCTCTTTAATAAAATTCAAATTCCATCAAAACATATTTGGTGTTTAGAAACGGTAATCATGTTAAATAAAACCTTCTCAATAAAAGTTGCTTTCATTACATGAGGTCATTACATGAGGTCATTACATGAGGTCATTACATGAGGTCATTACATGAGGTCATTACATGAGGTCATTACATGAGGTCATTACTCTTAAACACAAAAAAAATTTATGATTGAGATTGAATTTTTAAAATTCATTTTGATCTACTTTACGATAAATTTTTGAAATTAAAATGAAGTTAAGTTGAAATTAAAATGAAGGAACTTTGAGTCATTTCAAAAAATCTTCTTCCTAAACGAGGGTCAAAGGGGAAGTAAATTGGGGTATTATTTGTAAAGTAAACTGTTGTTGCAAAAAGTTATTATTTTAAGCATGAAAAAAGGAAGTTCTGACCATAACCATAATGCTTGAAAATTTTAGCTAGGTCAAAAGTATAACATTTCAAAACTCTTCCTAATTTACTCAGAATATCGAGATTACTACTAAGTAGGTGTCTATAAAAATTATTCTAGTTCGTTTCAAACGTTTTTTTTTGTTATTGCAATTTTAAAAAGTTTATTTAACATATATTCTTCAGTTCATATTGAAAACTATATTTAAAACCCAAAAATATACAGATTTCCATGATCTAGATCAACTATATATATTTAAGAATCATATCAAAAAATTACATTTAACAATCATGTCAAGAAATCAAAAAACCTGCTAATAACCTGTAGATAGATAGCCAACTGAAAGAACTGAAACTTTTTGCAATATTTTACAAAAGGACATATTGAAAATAACCAATCTAGAAAAAAAATGTTATTTAATTAGAGATTTCAATTTAAACTGCTTCCTTTATCACCAAAATTATTTTATATTAAACATTTTTTCAACAACTTCTTTCTAACGGAAGCGATACGAAAAAACAATCAACCTACTAGAATTATCAGCTTTTTTTTTTTTTTTTTTTTTTTTTGTTGCTATTAGTTGCAATATTTTAACAACTACTTTTTTTAACTAATCATTAAAAGCTGCAATTATTATTTTAGACGTCTCCAATCATTTTCCAATCTTTACTTTCTCTACGCAAAAATTCTAAATAAAAAAGTATACACAGTACATCAATTACAGTTTAAGTTAATCTGAAACCGTATAAATTTTAATTACAATACAAACATTATTTATAAAACGATTTTTAATCACAATACAAACATTATCCTTAAAACAATTTTTAAAACTTTAAAATTTTTTCTTTTGTTAGTAAATACGAAAGAGATTTTAAAAACCTAGCAAAACTGTATGCTTTATATTCAAAATCTAAACCAGAAAAATACAAAATAAGAAGCTTATTTGAAAAACGTTGCAAAAATGCTAAAAAAAATGCGCATGTTTGTCAAATAAATGTTGTTTTAAAAAAAAAACATTAATGTTAAAGCTTGTTCGTCTGTAAAGACAGGTAAACATTTGTACAAATACATCTTAAAGAGGCACGTCACATTAATAATTATTATTTTTATTATTATATTTTCTTTGCCGTATAATTAAATTTACAATGAGAAAAAACCATTCATGTATAAAAATTGGCCGGAGCAAGAAGAAGACATAAACTGTCTTATCGCCAAGCCCCGTTTACATTAACGTCACAAAGTTACAAGTTAAAAACTAAAAGGTTAAAAATTGAAGTACAATACAATATTAGTTCGACAAATATAAGACACAAGTAATAAATCGAATAAATGTTATTTGTCTGTTCAAAATTAATAGTATATATATTTTTTATTTTAATAAGAAATAAACAAGATACATAAGACAATAGTAAATGAGTAGTGATGACTTTTTCAGGTTTAATTATTTTTTGTGATTTTAGAAGAAATCTTTAAAATCGAAAGTTTTTTCTAATAGAAAACGTTTAGATTCTCTTTTGAATTGTTCTAAGGAGATGCCTCGAAGAATTTTATTTTTAATTATATTTTTTAAAAAACCTTTCCATATAAATGGTCCCCGGTATTGAATTTGAAATGAATTGAGTTTTAAATAAGATCTTGGAATAACAAAATTATCAGATGAAAATTTAGTGGGATATTTATGAGATATTTCGGTAAAGTAAGACTGAAATATATTAGGAGATAACGCATGTTTTGTTTTAAACGTAAATAGGATAACTTGGTATATATTAAGTTTGTAAATATTAAGCACATTAAGTTTCTTTAAAAGAGATTCACCATTAACAGTTCTGTTAACGCCAAAAATAATCCTACAAGCATGTTTTTGTTTGCTATAAATTTTTTTGAGCTTCCCATAATTGGTACTTGCCCATGCAAGATTACAATAGGAAAGGTAACTATGAATAAATGAGAAATATATAATTTTTAAAGATTCCGTATTAAGAAAAGGTTTAACTTTATATAGCATTGAAATATTTTTGGAGATTTTATTTTCAATAGATCTAATATGATATTTCCATGATATATTTTCATCTAATATCACTCCTAGAAAGTTAATAGTTGACTCTCTTTTAATAACTTTTTTGTTCATAAAGAGATCAGGTAGTTTTAAAAAAAGGTTATCACCTTTACTAGGTTTGTGGAACAACATAAATTTAGTTTTCCCAACATTTAATGAAAGTTTATTATTCGTAATCCATTCATTTATTTTTAATAACTCTTCATTAAAAATTCTAAACAGATCTTTAATATTTCTGTTAGAGCAAAAAAGATTTGAGTCATCAGCAAACAAAATAACGTTTAGAATTTTGGATGCTAAATACAAATCATTAATGAACAGTATGAATAATAAGGGCCCTAAGATTGATCCCTGGGGAACACCACAAGTTATGATATGTTTTTTTTCTTCATTTTCTGTATATATTATGTACTGTTTCCTGTTTGAAAGGTAACTTTTAAACCATTGTAAGTTATTGTTTAATACTCCATACATTTCTAGTTTTTTTATTAGAATATCATGATTAACAGTGTCAAATGCTTTTGACAAATCAATAAAAACTCCTAATGTATAGCAATCATTATTGAACCCATTGGATACATAATTTATTAGATCGACTACTGCATGGTCTGTTGAATGATTTTTTTTAAACCCAAATTGTTTATTATACAGAATATTGTTCTCAGTTAAATAGTTGTTAAGTCTATCATACATAATTCGTTCTAACAATTTAGAGAAACATGGTAAGACAGAAATAGGTCTATAATTGGACATATTTGTATCATCGCCATTTTTAAAAATAGGTATAATCTTAGCAATTTTTAATTTCTCCGGTACAATACCGGATTTTAAAGAAAGATTAAAAATGTGAAACAGTGATGGTTCAATAATATCAAACACAGCTTTAACTACATTTACGCTAATTTTATCAATGCCCGCACATTTATTATTTTTTAGACAGTTGAAAGCATTGCGCATCTCACTTAAGTTTAAATTAGATTCTATCATAGATGTGTTGGGTGTATTTATATAAGATTCGAAGTTGTTTGAATTGGTTTTTGGAATTTTATCAGCTAATTTTGGTCCAATATCAAGAAAAAATTTGTTGAGCTTGTTAATTATGACTTCTTTATTATAAATTATATCCCCGTCAACTAAAAGTTTTTCTGGCAATTTATTATTTTGACATTTATTTGTACCGATTATCTGCTTAATTACATTCCACGTCTTTTGTGTGTTTCCATGTGTTTTTTCTAGCAATTTTGCATAATAATTTTTTTTAGATTGTTTCTTTATTTTTTCAAACAAGTTTTTATAATTTTTATATTTTGTTTCATTTTTATATGTTTTATGTTTTAAATATTTTTCATAAAGGTTTTGTTTCCTCTTTGATGATTTGAGTAAACCTTTGGTCATCCAAGGGTTTAAAAGTGATTTAGGATTTATAATTTTTTTTATAACTGGAAATGCCAAATCATAGTATTTACAAAACTGCGCCAAAAATAATTCATACGCATTATTCACATCTTGCGATTGTAATATAAGATCCCAGTTAGTTTTTTCAGATAAAAGATTTCGAAAATATATTATGGAGTTTTTATTGATTTGTCGCATTGATATTGTTGATTTAGAGACAGAATGATTAAGGGTTATATTATCTGTAGTTAAGAATATTGGGTAATGATCTGTTATGTCAGTTTTAATTATACCCGATTCTAAAGCGCAATTATGAAAATTATTAGTAAATATGTTATCTAGTAAGGTCGACGAAGTCTTAGTTATTCTCGTCGACTTATTTATAGTGGGAATGATATCGTATTGTATAAGTGTATCTAAAAAGCATTGAACATTTAGATTTGAAGCATGATTTAACAAGTTTAAATTATAATCACCAGTTAAGTACACGTGTTTCTTTGTAATGTTAATTTTGCTTAAAAATGTTTTTAGATAGGTATAAAACTTTTTTAAATTACCAGATGGCTTTCTATAAATAGAACTAATAATTATATTTTTGGTCGCTTTATTATTTAATAATGGTAAAGTAAAAACTTTTTTAGATAATTGCTGTTTTAATGCGTCTGAAGCAAATATTTGAGTATTTCATAAGTCATGTCACAGACATTTATCCGTATATATATATATATATATATATATATATATATATATATATATATATATATATATATATATATATATATATATATATATATATATATGTATATATATATAATAATAACTGTTTTGATAAATACCGGTATAGAGTGCTCAATACAGAGTAAAGCGAATTACATTCTTTAAAAATTAAATAATAACACCTGGTAGTTAAAGAAACATGACTCCGAGTTTCACGCTTATGGCGTGAAACTCGGAGTAAACTGCACAAAAAAACGATTTAAACATCTTTATTGTAAAATGTTGACAGTTTCTACATTTGACACGGGTTGATATATATGATATGGGTTGAAAATCTAATTTATACAAAATTTTGTATTTAAATTTATTGAGCAAAATAAACTAAAGAATAAATTTGATAGAGCATATCATTTGGCAGGTAAAGGCTGGCATCACTCCTTTATAAAAATACATTTCACTATGTCATTCTAGAAAATTAGCAAAAAACTTATCACTTTGATGCAAATTATATGTATAACGCTAATGAGACCGGTATTTCTAAAGTTCAACAAAATTCCAATATCTTAGACCTAAAGGCCATAAATAAGTTTGGATGGAAATCTTTAGTGAATAGGATTTAAAAATTACAGTTGTTGTGCATTCAGTGCTTCAAAAAAGTATATTCCTCCGATATTTGCTTTTAAAGTAAAACGCATGAATGATTAATAAATGCGAGGAAGCGATCCTGATATGAGTGTCACTGTCAGTCACTCAAGTTGAATCAACAAAAATTCTGAATGCAACGAAAAATGTAATATTTTTGCAAACAACGGATGCAAACACAGGGCGAAAAATTATTCAATACGAAATTATTGAACTGTTTACAAAAAAATATAACCTCCTGAGCAATTGAAAAAACAGCCAACGGATTTGAAACAGCTGGTATTAATCCATTAAATATCGTAAAATTGAATTATCCTGGTCAGAAACCCAGACAAATGGTACAAATTATACAGATATTGTTACTCAGTCCTGTTAATTACAAAGAATAACTGATATTTAACATTAAGATTTGCACCGATTCAAAACATCTGAAGTGTTGTTATTTCGCTATTGCATCCTTATGGATTTGTTCTGTCGCTCAATGAGGCTTAAGCCACTAAACTGGCACCAATTCAATAAAATTATTCAAAATAGCTTTCAAAGATTGTTGTTTTTTACTTTGTTTGCTAAAAAAGAAAACCATTGCTAAAGATAGAAACCCTTAAAACCATTCTTATTAGCTCTTCATTGAAATTTCTTTTAGAATTCAAGTTGCAAAAGAAAAGTAGGACGGAACAAGAATTAAAAAAGACTGTTGGTAAGAGTAACAAGGGAATAAAGCACATTAATCAATTTGATACTTTCTACCTTTTCGGAATGACCCCACGTAAGTAGGGTAATTCCGAAAAGTTTCGTTTTTGCCTTAAGGGGGCACAACCCCATAAATAAAAAAATCTTTAATTTTGATATTTAAATAATTTTTTTTATTTATTAAGTAAATTCATAATAAAACTAAGATTAAAAAAAAAAAAAAAAAAAAAAAAAAGAAGGGGTTGCCCTGTGGGGCAATTTTTAGGGGGCAAAAACTTAAAAATTGACCATTTTGTGGCAAAAATATTCCAAAATGCAGAAGGTCACATAGAATAAAATTTGGCATTTAACTAGCCTGATGTTAGAGGTATGCAATGAACCTCAAAAACTTAACAACTTACTTATTCCTTGGGGTCGTGCTTTATTTGTTTAAAGGATACAAAAAAAACAATATTTTTATCCCCCATAATGACCGAAAAATCGTTATATTTTATTTTTAACACATATATTCTTATAATTTTGAGGTTTATTGCACAACCTTGTACATAATAAACAATCTGTCAAAATATGAGAAGTTTTAATCAAACCGTTTTTGAAATATCTTTGCCACAGTCAGGCAAAGTTAAGAAAATGTGGAAATCTTAGAAAAAAAGGTTTAAAAAAAAAAATTATGTTAACTCTATTGTTAATAATAATTATATTTATCTGGAGCCTTTTTATCTATTAAGTATTGCACTGTAGACTATATTCAAACAATAGATGTACTTTATTTATCAAAAGTCAGATTTAATAACCCTTTTCTACTTGCGAATGAATAAAAAGCTAAAATGGTAAAAATTTTTTACTTTTCCCTGTTAAATGCCATGTTCATATAAACAGGTATGATAAAACTAATTTGATATAAACATTTAAAACTTCCTGCTCCATATGACAAACCCTCATTATTTTTATTTTCACTTCTCTTACTCTTTTTAGCTCCACGCAGAAACTTGCGACGCATCCTATACTTCTCACCATTTTTTCGACTTGCATTTTTTAATCGTGAACGATTTCTTTCTTTGCAACTAAGCTCAGTGTAGCTGCCTCACTCCACCTGCATTTTATCATATATTTTTAATGTTGCTAAATTTCCAATATTAAAATGAGCAACTGCATCATAAGCAGCAATTTCCAACTGTACTAGTTTTACAAATGCATCTTTTGGAACACGATTCCATATTGTTGCATTGAAAGACTCGAAAGCAATTCCTAATTTCTGCTTTTGATTAAGCTTTACTGAATTATGTGAACACTCTGGGCACAAAAGAATCTTAAAAGTTTCAGCTAACAATTCCATATCAACTATTCGGTTGCCTGTAATGTTTTTTGAACAGCAGTTATCAACAACTTTAATCATTGAACCATTTAACTTTGAATAAGAAACTGTTGTTGCTATGTTTTCTTTATTTGTAACTTTAGAGTTTTCAGTAAAATTTTTAGAGAGTTGGTTGCCATAAAACTTCCTACTTTTATGTCTTTTAGATCGAAACTTACAAGATGATTCCATTTCAATTTGTAAATATTTTTCAACTTTTTAGTTATACTAGTTACATAAATATACAAAGCAATAGATAGAAAGCTTATAAATAGCATAGATAGATAAATATACTTAGCAAAACAGCATAGAAATTATCTTATAAAGCATACTACCTTGTTATAATACTGAAAAATAAAAAAATATATAAAAACCAATTTTGTAAAACATAAACAAACATTCTAACAAGGCCAGCCTGTCAAATCAGTAGTTTAATTAGTTAAATAACTCCATTATGCTTATTACGTCGTTGTACAAACAAAAAGCCATTTGTACAAACAAAAAGCCAAGATCAACTTTGAAAAAAGGGCTTAAAAAGATGAAAAACAACATTTAAAAACGGTTGCTATGCGCGTTGCTAGGGTAATTTAAATAATGAACATCTAAATAAATGAAATTTTGACCAATATCAGCATGGATAGAAAAAATTTAAAAATCAGCAATAGTTTCTACGATAAATTTGAGTTAAAATAAGTGTATTTTTGAAAAATTAATTTTTTCAATAATTTACACTTTTTTAATAGGGTTGTGCCCCCTTAAATTTTGGTTTTATAAAAAGATTTAAAAAAATAACTTTCGAGAGCTTGTTATAAATTAGTTGCACTAAATGATAAGCAAAAATATGTTTATTTTCTTATAACAGTTTTCTATTTTTGGCATTTCCGGTTAGTTCGCCAATACCTCCTTTATCCTATAGATGTTCGCCAATACCTCCTTTATCCTATAGATAAATTCGTTTTTAAGAAGCAGCTTTAACAATTTGTAATACCTTTTAAGTGTTAACAAATCAGCTCCCAATCTTTTTTTAATTGCTCTTTTTACATTTTTAATTTATTAGCAATTTAACTTTTATTTCGCATTTGATAAGAAAGATAAAACACAGAGTTGGGGTTAAAATAATAGAGCTAAAAGCCTTTTAATGTTAGTATAAATGGAATAAAATTTTCACGTAGACAAAAATTATCTTTAAATTTATTACATATAAAAATGAAAAAGAAATTTTTCTAAAATTATTAAGTAAAAACTCACCTTCACTTTATTTTATAATATGCAAAACCGCCGCCTCGTTACTTTAAACGTTTTGAATCATAACTCATGGATGTGTATGAACTTATTTTCGGTTTTAAAATTTTTTTAAATTTTCAAGACCGAATATAATCTTTATTTAAAATACCATTTATAATTTCTTAGGAAGTTTAGCGTTAAAAATTATATTTGTGTAAATACTTTGTTTCGGTAAAAATTAATCAAAATATTTGTACATACAATAATTAAAAATTTGGTGTTGAGCAAACTTCAGTCATTATTATAACAAAAATTTAAAAACAAACAATTACCACATTTACGACCAATAGAATGACGGCTGCATTCGTTGTTAACATAAATACGTGTGAAATACTTAAAGAGACGTTTCCAGATTGCACAGTAGACCAATAAATGAACAAAACTGAAAAAATCGAAACCGACAAACTATTTTTTCTTTTTTTTATCTTTATTTTTTAAATAGTTTTAATGCAGAAATTTTTTTTACCTTAAAAACATTTAATAGCAAAAAAAAAAAAAAAAAAATCATTTAAAGTTTTTGTATACCGGTTTTTGCATTTAATCTGGTGGATTTTTGCACGAATCTGGCGGTTTTTTTCATTTAATCTGGCGGTTTTTTCCATTTAATCTGGCGATTTTTTGCATTTAATCTGGTGGTTTTTTGCAATCAATCTCGTGGTTTTTTTTTATCATCATAAACAGTTTTGCTTTTATTGCTTTATTTAATTTAACTTCCTTATGTACACTTTAAGGCCGTTTTCTCTTAAGTTTTTTAAAAATTTAAAATGAATAACACACGAAGACAATGCTCAGAGATTAATGTTGAAGTAAGAAATTTGATCATTAATCTTGTAACTAACGAAGGGAAAAGTGTGAAAGAAGTAACGGAACTCGTGCATAGAAGTGAGACTTCAATACGACGTCTGGTCCATCAATATTTATCAACAGGTAATATCAATCCTGGTATTAGAGGTGGTTTTCAGCAGTCAGGTTGTACTGAGAAAATAAGAAATAAGCTACACGAATTGATTGGAGATAACAAAAACTATAATCTACAGGAGTTAAAGGTAGAACTGGGACTTGATGTCAATGTCTCTACATTATGGCAATGGTTAAAAAATTGAATCATACATACAAAATATTAAGACCCATTAGTGAAAGACGCAATACTGCAGAGGTAAAAGAAGAAAGAAAAACAATTGTTTCATAGTATTTGAACTTGACATTGCAACAACGCTACAGAAATATCATTTACATAGATGAAAGTCCGTTCAATCTTCATATGATAAGAAACCATGGATACAGTTTCCGAGGAACGACCCCAAACGAACGTGTGATATCATCAAGAGGCCGTAACATAACTATGATATTAGTATTAAATTGTTTAAACATAGTCCACTGTAAAGCAATAATTGGCGTAGGGGTGACCGCAGAAATTTTCAAAGGATTTTTAAATACGCTTAAAGTATTTTGGGAGAAAAAAAAGAGTTTACCTTGGTGATGGACAATGTTAAGTTTCATCATTCATTATTAGATTTTTATGATAGTTATCCCTATGAAATTCGTTTTTTACCCCGATACTCACCTTTTCTAAATCTAGATCTAGAAAATTAAGAATACTTCAAGAGGACAAAAAGCTCCGATCGGAAATAACGATTTGTTAGAACGAATGAGGAACGGTTGTGAGCACGTTACCGAACCTGATCTTTCAAACTTCGTGAGACACTGCGAATCTTTTCTCACACAATGTGTTAATGGAGATGACATTAATAGAGAATAATGTAATAATTTTTTAAAACTTGTATGTTGTATATGTATGTATATATATATATACATATATATTTATATATATATATATATATATATATTTATATATATATATACATACATATATATAAATATATATATATATATAACCCTAGATGCGCCTTAAGGCAACAGTAAAAAATTTACTTCCTTAAGGCGACTCATGAAAATTTTCAACTTTTTTTTAAAAAAAAAAAGCGCAACAGATTCGCTAGAGATTAATGATGATTAATCAGTTACTGGTTTGAGAATTTAATATTTACTGAAAAAGTTATACGAGTTATATAAATTTGCTGTCACCTTAACGTTTTTTGTATATTTTAAAGTCGCCCAAAGGAAAAAAAAACCCTAGATCAACTGTAAGGTGACAGATTTTTGTTTAGATGTAAACATTTTTTTTAATAAAGATTAAGTTAACAAATATTTATTTACCTCGTTTATCGTTTATATTCGGAGCATATTTCAAAATAATAACAATTTTCTTTTTTATTATTTTATAAAGTTTTAATACATTATTATAACAAAAACTCGAACAACCACAAAGTTTAAAAACAATAACAGTTTAAAATACTCAGGGTTTAAACTGACGCAAGTAGGCACCATATTACACAGTTTTAACACAAATTTTATTAGAAAAAGCAAGTTACCTCTTTTTAGGAAAACGCTTATACTATTTTTATTATACTTATAAGCTAAAATAACGCGTGTTAATCTACAGATTTAATGATATTAAATGAGATTTAATTATTTGGTAGCAGGCTTCCTTCTGTCATATCAGCCCGCAAAGGGCATAAAAGCAACCTAGTAGCATTAATCAATTCCCATAAGTGCAACTGTCTTTTTCCGAAAATTCTGTTTTATTCTTCGAGTATTAACAATTCTAGTTCTGATTTGTTTGAGGTCTAAACAAAATTTTTCTGCAAATACTTCCATTTCTTTACGGCCTAAAAAAAGAAAACGATAAAATTATTAATTTTTGAAAAAAATAGTAATAACCGAAATCTCTACAAGTAAATTTAATTTATTTATAGCCAAATTACAGGCCTTTTCAACATGTGAACAGTTAAAATTTTAAAGATTTTACTGTTTATGTATTAACTTTTCTATAAATGTGTTTTTGTAAAAAACACTAACACGTTGAAAAGAGCAACGTAACTAGTTTTTTAATGTTTTAATGAGTACGCTTGTACTGGGCGTAAACTGAAAACCGCATTAAAAGCAAATAAAAAGACTTCATAATAGTAAAACTGATGAAATACCTGGATATCCACGATTATTTTTAAGGTGAAGGGCAAATTCTTTGTTAAACGCAACTTTACTAGACTTATTCCATGACTTTTTTTCAACTGTTAAATTTTTCTTTTTATTGATCGCTTTTTCTGAATAAAATAAAATTAGGTAAGACATTTTTAACAGCTTAGTAAATAATAAGCAAAAAGGCAAAAATTCATATAATTAAGGGGAAAAGACATAAATATTTAGAAGTGAATATATAGAGGTTTGAAGTAAAAATATACAAATACTATTATATATATATAATGTACGTCAAAAATTATTGACAATTACAATAGCATATGCAATTTCAAAACTATCAATTTATGACAGTTAATCTAATTATTTACTTTCAAAAAAGTTAAAATCCCATTATTGTTTAAAAGAGTTATAATATTTAAATAGAGTTAAAATATATAAACTCTTTAAAATGAATTAAAAACGTTTAAAATGTTTGAGAAAGCCTTTGACTAGTGTTTACCAGTGGGCTCGTCCATAAATTACGTCACGCCATTTTTGACTATTTGTGACCCCCTCCCTTCCATGTCACAATACCGTGACACTTGAGAAACAAGTTACGTATTAGTCATCACAAAGCCATTAACCCCTCTCCTAGAGCGTGAGGTCATTACATAGTGGGATGACCCCAGTGTAATGATTTACCAAACCTTGTCAGTATTGGCTTCAACAAGCGTCTTTAAGTTAAAATTGGGATATTTTTATTTTCTGTAAACATGGTTCAAGCGTTTAAAAAAAAAGTATTATTTTAATTCCAAAGATTTATCTACCATACTTTAAAATAGGGAATACTAACTTAATAAATGCATTTTAAAAACGTAAAAAACACAATATAAGCAAATAGACCTTTTTCAAGTTTTAGCACTTGCTTTATCTTTATTTCACCTTCCACTTTACTATCATTTCCAGATATCTTTGTAAAATCAACTAAATAGAAATTATGAACACCTTTCAGAGACAAATTATACAATCCAAAAAAATGAAATTAAAAAACATAAAAGAGGAAATTATCGACAATCAGTATTTAACCTGAGATTATAATAATAAAATTATGGCATATCAAATGTACTCAAAATAGCTTTAGCATAAACAAAACAAAAGTAAAAACTTATTATTTAGTAAAAACATCAAAAGTAATTTTTTAACCTTTTAAACATTATGTTAAAACAATGTTATTTTGCAGCTATTTTACTTCATACAATATTTATTAAGGCTAAATTTATTTTGTGATTTTAAACACTAATTTGTTAACCGCTTTTGCAAACAACTTTTTTTGGGTTGAAATTTTCATTAAAATTCAAATATAAATTAAAAATACAGGTTACTATCACTTTAGTTTAGAAAACATTTAATGTTAAACTTTGAAGCTTGAACTAAGCTTGTGGTAGCTTAAGCATCATATCAATTTTTTTTATTATTATTAGGAAATGAAGAAATTGTATAACTTTTAACATTCCTAACCTTCATGGAAAGATCTTTTAGGATACTTTTTTCTTCCAGTTTCACTTTCTATAACTATAAACAAAATGATAACAATATAAAAAAATAATAATTAAAAACCTTACCTAAAAGAATACAAAAAAAGTAAACAAATAAAAAATCAGTTGAACCTTTTTTTAAATCAAGGACTGGCCTAATTTTTAAACCACTATTCAGTTTACTATCATTTTTGGTTATCAACTCAACTAATAAGTAAAAATAAAATAAAAGTATAAATCAATTAAAAAGTAATCTTTTTATATTTAATTCAACTTAAAAACTAAAAAAGCAATCAACATTACTCACCATCAGTTGATATTACATGTTCTCCTATAGTGCTTAAGTTTTGTTCAGCTGAATTAGAAATAATTGACTTGAATGAAGTTAGATCAACCTTTGTCACTTCTTGAATAGCTCTTAGTCTTTTGCCTGTTGTTTTTATTTGTAAGGATCCAGGAGCAGCTTGGTAAACATTTTGATTGATTCTTTCTGAATGTCCAAAGTGATTATAAATTAAAGTTTTTTCCTTTTCTGATAACTCCAGCTTTGCTAAGATTGTAGCAATACGATGCCGATTTTGGGTGGCATTAATTGCACCTTTTTTATCTAAACGAATTAATACTTCATTTATGCAATGCCAACCACTAGCATGGCTCATGCTTTTTTGGGTACTGGCAAAAATATATTGGTTTTCATCAGGAATTCCAGCATTTTTCCTAACTTCTTTGTTTGTCAGATATCGCATTGCTTTTATGCATTCTGGTGGAAAGAGAACAGGAACTGTGTGATCCGAACCTTTCCCTGTTTGATAAGTGATAAACATTTGCTCAATATCAAATTCTTCAGGCAGATCTTGTTTATCCATCCATTCTCCATTTAAAGCCTCATTCCACTGAAATAAGTGTAACCGCACAGGTTCTCCACCTCGTCTGGCATTAAATATAGTCAAACATGTGGCAGTCGCAGATCGGATAGTGACAAATGATTCACATGGATGTTGAAAATCATCAATAGAATTCATAATTTTGTTACATTCCTCAATAAGCAGTTGAACATCTGCTTCATTTGGGAGATTAATTGGTTTCCGCAAATCAATATTTTTACGATAATTTAGATTATAATAAGCATCACCAAATAAATCATCTTCATAAAGCTTTAAAACCTTTAAAAAGTCAACTACTCTCTGAGATTTCAAATCATCATTTTTTACTAAAAAGTAACCAATCAAAAATTTTGCTGTTAACTTTAATAAATTAAGTATACTGATTTTTTAGGCCACTTTTTTGTGCACTTAATAAAAGATGGTCCGAATCTTCATTTGATTTTTCTGATAAAGAATTAATAGCTTCTCCAACTATGGTGATTACTTCTCGACAGTACATGTCAGCTGCATTATTTAAGATATTATCTATTTTAACAGCTTTCTGATTGCTATAGATACTTTTAAAAGATAAGTATAATCTTGCAGTTAACCGCATTCGTGAACGAACCAATCTTTTAGTCTCTGAAACTTTATCTTTCTTTCTTTTAAGAGCGCTATAAGATCTAGAACCAATCATTAAAATGATTTTGTCAGTTTTAATATAATTTCCAATATCATCCAGTTGTAATGTGTTTAGAAGGTTGACAAAATCATTTGAATAATTTTCATAATCTTTACTTGCTATAGAAACCATAGGTATCATTAGATTGGTATTTGTACCTTGGCAAACAAGTTGGTGACGAGCTTTATACTTTCTTGAATAGAAACCTTTACACCCACAACACATAAGAGGGAGTTCATCATTTTGTATTTTTGACTTTCTTTCTCTAATAAAACATGTTTGACCTGATTCCACCAGTGAAACATTGTGATTTCTAATAGCTTCCTTTCGAAATATTTCTATATAACGATTCTGATCTACAGAGTTCATATTTAAAAGAGGCAATACCGAAATTTCAGTACCATGCTTTAAAAGAATATGGCGTTTTAACCGAGTCTGAGGAACTTTGCAAAATAAACAAAGTCGTGCTGGTTTTGTGTACTTGTTGGTTTCTGGTTTTGAGGTATCAACCTCAATTTCTCCACATGTTTTAATTAGATTCAAACATTTTTTTGTAATTTTACCAAAATCATCACATGTTGAATTTAGGTCTTCTTTAGGAACATCACTATTGGAAGCTTCTGAAAACGTTTTTAGTTCTTCCCAAGAAGCACATCTTTCAATTATAGGAGTTGTAATTAAACTAGGAAGTACAGCAATAAACTCTGTTTCTTTGTTTGGTGACAAACACACGAACTCGTTTTCATTTTCAAAAATAAGATCACATTTTGTAAAACTTGATTCAGTAATATTATCAACAGTGGAAAGATATTGATATTCAATTTCTGAGTCAGAATCATCAAACAATGGCTTTTCCAATGAAACTTTCAAAACATCTAATTTCTAAACAACAAATTGACTGAACAGTTAACATAAAAACTTAATCAAACAGCAAAAGCACTTTAAAATTTTTAAATTATTACCAAATATTTAAGTACTGGTAAATGTTAGTAATTTTTGACTTAAATATAAATAAACTAGATAATATCTTAAATAATGCAGATGACATGTACTGTCAAGAAGTAATTGCCATAGTTGGAGAAGTTATTAATTCTTTATCAGAAATATCAAATGAAGATTCATTTATTAAGAATATGGTAATATAATCATAAAAACATGATACAAACATGATAAAATTTGTATATCATTAATTATGTAGTATTTAATTTTTCTTTAAAACAAGGTTTTACTTAATTAGTTAATAACTATTAAGTTATCTATTTGTAGTAAATAATTACATCATTGAAGCATCATTTTTAAACTTTTTCATGTGAAATAACAAAATGATTTGGTTATATATTTATTACTTCATTGATGAAGCTCTAATTGATGCAATAATAATTAATGAAATTATTAATTATAAATATAACTAATGAATTATAATTAAATAATAATTAATAGCTTTTATTTTGACAGTAATATCTAGCTGCACTTTACTGCAGACTTGACTAAAAGACTTGCTTATTGTTTAGTATACATTTAGTATATTTTATCTGCTTTGTTTTTTTTTCAGCATGTTTTAAACAGCCCTTGGTTGGTATTCTGCAATTAAAATTTTTGCGTGTTTTATACCGCAACAACATATTTATTGTAAGAGACAAAAGATGCAAAAAGTTATAGAACAACTTATTATTGATGTTTAAGCTACAAGCTTATTTTATACCTTGACTTTATAAAGAAAAAAAAAGAAAAAAGAAAAGAGTTTTAACTTTGTCAAAAAAAGTTTAAAAAAGTGAAAAGAAATAACCACTAAGATATTAGACCACTATAGTTTGATTTACTAAGGTCTTCTATACAAAAAAATAATGTCCAAGAAAAAGCCTTTATTATGAAACCTGTTTATGTTAAGTAGTTAAGAGTTTTTAAATAAAATCATAACACAATGTTTTATTTTATGTAAATGAAATAAAATATAAACTAAATTATACCTCCCTATTTATTGCTCCAATTTCAACACAATTAGCTTGGTTATAACATAATGGCTGTAAACATGATGCCTTAACATTTAATAAGTATACAAGTAATTTTAATTCTTAACAAGCATGCCTAAATAATATACTTTAAATTTTTAAATATATGCTCAATTAAAAATAAATAATAAATGTAGAGTATAGTGCAAAACTTTCACATTATGGTACTTCAAAAATATATCAGAAGCTTTGAAAAAATAAATCTAAAAAATTAAATCATTTTTGGTTAATCAAAACAGTCTTAATAGTCTATACAATGTCAAAACCAAACATAGCAAAACAAGCATCTGCTATGGTTTTTTTATTTTATCATACCAGTCATAAGAGTCCTCACTATTTCTATATTTATCTACAAATTTAAATAAATGAAAACAAAAAAAGATAAAATCATTTTTTAAAATAAAATTTAGAAAACTTGATAGAGTTAAATAATAAACTATAAAATAAATATAACACACCATGGTCCGCCAGAACATTACAACAGATATTTTAAACAACAGATCAAATAACAATAGATATTTTAAATCAAGAACAAATAACAATTAGTTCTAAAAAAAAATTAAAAAAAAAAAAAAGTAAATATTGGAGATGAAGTATTATGAAAAACAATCAATCAAAATGCAAACAATAAAATTATAACATTAAAAAAGATGATGGTACTGATGACAGTAACAATGATAGTGATAAAAAAAAACATTTACAATAATCATTTCTTAATTATTCACAAAAATCATTTCTTAAAATTTATTTATACACTTGCCCAAGCTAAATGAGTTATTGCAGTTTGACATTTTACATTTTACATTTTTTATGGCTCTTTTTTAGTTCTATTCAGTTTTTTTTTTATAAATCTAGTATGCAGATAGGAAATCATTTTTATCTGTTGTTAATTTCACATATATTTCTTAGTCTCAAACCAGTTTTTTGTGCTCTTAATTAAAGATTATTATTTTATACAGCATCATCCTGGACACCAGATAATAGAAAAAATTATAATTTAAAGCTGACGTTCTTTTTGAGACACTATATCTCTTTTATTTATTCACAAATTTCCTAATGAATTATTTTAAAGTAATTTCACAGTATAATTTTATGCCAACATATTAAGAATTTACTAAAAACTAATTTTTACCTCAAAAAAAACAACAACAACCATGCAAACCATGTATTGTAAGCCGAAACGTAAATGGAATAATATTTTAAAATATAAAGTATACCTTAATTCAGTGCCAACATCTATTGTTTTTGTAGCGAAAAGACAAAGACTAACATGACTAGACTCAACTATTCTTTTCATTTTTGCATTAGCATATATTGAAGGTGAGTCGTTTACCATGCATCCCATGAAACTTAGTTGGTTTGTAGCATCAATGCTTAAAAAAAAACAAACATAAATTAAATGAGTATCAGAAGAATAAAAAACAATAATAGAGTAAATTTTGTTTCATAATTTTCATGAGTAAATTTAAATTTCATAATCAATGTTAATTTTTGTATTTATACTTTCTTAAATATGTAAAATATTCTAAAAAAGCCATAAAAACCATACAAATTCAAGAGCCATACAAACCATAAAAGTTAAAGAAGAACAAAATAATAAAAAATGAAAAAATATTTAACTTACCAAACAGATTTACCATAAATATCTTTGATCCCATTATAAATAAAACAACCCAATCCTTCATTCTCATATTGTTGGGACCTCAATTTTGCCTCGTTTAAACTAATAACATCACCTAATTAATACAGATACAAAAATATTTATACACATGAGACAGGGTTGCTAGCCAATAGCTAATTCAAAATTTCAGGATATTTTCGAGACTTTTCAAGGAAAGTTTTGGGTTTTTTAAAGATATAATGATCTTTATTCAACCAGAAAAATAAACAATATGTTGATTTATAAAAAAATATGAAAAAGAAAAATGACTAAATAAATAGTAGATGTTCATATTACTGACAGTAACATTACACAAAAATTTTGATGAATTACAAAAAAACATACAATTATTACATTCTCTGTAAATCTACACAAAATTAAGAATCTGTAAAAGATAAAAACATGACAAAATATTTAACTTTAAAAAACGAACAGGATTTCTAAGAATTATTGCTAAAAAGTGTTTTTTCAAGACTTTGCCAAGTTTTTAAAGACAGCTGACCACTTTATAAAAAATATTGTCAGTTTGACTAATTATTTGGCTGGTACTCATATCTTATGTACTGAAATCCAAAATTTAGCAGGTACTGGATACTTCAGATACTCAAATCCAAAATCAGCCGCATATCCTGACTCAGGGACCAACATTAATTTATCCATTCATTTATTTAATTATCCATAATCTTATCCAACATCAGGGTTGGGATCAAATAAGTATTTGGTAAAAAAAATTTGATGTATTTGTATTGTTATTTGATAAAAAAAAATTTCCTAAATATTTGTATTTGATTTTAATGTATTTCTGTTCCAGTTTCATAAAATAGGTTAACCAATGTATTTCTGTTCCAGTTTCATAAAATAGGTTAATCAATGTTTTTTTTGTTGATAATACCATATGATTTATTGTTTTTTTTTCTTCATTTTTAACAATAAAATAAATTAAAAACTTGTTTTTATAGAAGATTTGTTAGAAGGCTTGTTTTTATTCTTCTATATAGTAGACCATTTTATCAGTCTTGTCTTGAAAAAATCTTTATATTTTCTCTTAACCTAAATTTCAAATAATTGTATTTGAATTTGGAAAACACTGATTACATATATTTTGTATTTTTATTTGAAAATCTATTTCTATTTAATCAAACATACTTGATCCTAACTATGCTTGACATAGATTAAAAATATGCTAATTAACATGGCAGAAAAATTTAAGAAAACTCCATCACAATAACACAATTGCTTCGCAAACTACACAAAGACCACTAAAACATTTAATAACAACAACTAACACCACTAATAACAAATTAAAATTATTAACAAAGCTAAGTAAAAATCTTTATATTCACATAACAACTGAATGTTAAAAAAATAATAATAAGTTTAATAAAATCTGAAAAAATCACATAAAAAATACCTCTGTACTGTAAAAGAAAGTCTCCTTTCAGAAATTTATTTGTTGTAAATACACCATAACCTGAATTGGTTAAACAATAAGTGAGTCTGATAAATTATTTAATAAACTTTTAGTTTTAAACAAAAAAAAAAAAAAAAAAAAAAAAAAAAAAAAAAAAAACCTATGACTTTTAAAACAATATAAAATAAGAAATGGGAAACTAAACCTTGTAGTGTCATCCAAGCCTTTAATATTTTTTAATGGTTCCATCAATACTAAAGATCTAAAACTATTAGGAATCTAAAGGAAAGATAATAACCAACCCTGGGAATTAGGAAAAATGAGGTCGGCAATTAATTTAATTTGCCGACCTCAATCTTATATAGGTCGGCAAAAAAAATGTGACACTAAGGTCTTACCATAAAACACTAAAATGAGGTCAGCAATTTTTTGCTGACCTCAAACAATTTGAGGTCAGCAGTTAGGTTGGCATTGCAGAATGCTGACTCCAAGTGTTGCTTAACTTAAGATACTACAACAAAAAAACCATAAGACATCGCCAAAATTTATTTTGGTAATTTTAAGAGATTAGATAAAAACATTGAATATGACTTTTGATTTAATAGTAAAATATAGTAGTAGGGATCTTAAACTCTTAACACACGTTGTATTCATATTAAAAATGTTTAAAAAAATGGTTTAATCTTAAGATTTTCTTTTTTAAAAAAAAGAAAATCTTAAGATGAATTATTTACATAAAATTGTGAACTTTTAAAACAATATACAATAAGGAACAACAAATCAAACTTTTATCAAAGTATATTTTATGACTAAAAAAGCCTAAAGAATATAAAACTATGTATAACAGGGATGTGATTATAAAAAATATCAGCTAAACAACAGCCAAATGAACCTTAGTATGACTTTTAAATCAATATATAAAAGGAAACAACAAATCAAACCGCAAGGAGCTGCCCATAAAAAAGGTAACAATAAATATATTTTGCACTTTTTTAAGATTTTCATTTGACTTAATTAGCTATTTATATTTTTCATATTATGGATTTTTTAGTAGATGCACAACTTACGGACAATACCTTAAGGCAACATCTGCATTTTCAAACAAAAGAACCTTAAATTGAATTTTAAATTAATTTTAAACAAATTTTAGGGTGTCATTTAATTATTTTTAAAAATATATTTTATCTAATATCTTAAGTATCTTAAAATTAAACTAAAAATACGAAACAAGGAACAATCAACTAAACCTTAAGACGTCATACAAACTTTTTAAAGATATTTTTGTAATGAAACTCAGTTAAAAAAAGAGCTTAAAGGTGACTTTAATAATTTATAAAAATAAATTTTTTTAATAATTTAATTTATGACTAAAGACTTAAAAGGTAAAACTTTAAGCAATAAATAACAAGGAACAATAAAGCAAACATAAGGACAACAAAGATTTTCTAAAGATATTTTAAAATATAATTCAATCAAAAGAGACAATCAAAAAAATCTTAGGGTGACTTTTAGAATAAAAATTAAAAAGCAACAATAAAACACACCAAAAGACAACCTCCATATTTATTATTAGATATTTTTAAAGTAAAACTCAGAAAACCAAAAAATACCTAAAGGTGACTATTAAAAACAAGATGACAACTAGATTTTTATACAAAATAATTTTATAGTAAAATTAAGTAAAACAAAAGAACCTTGAGGTGACTTAAAACAATATAAAATTAAACACTTAAAACAATATACGAAAATGAAGAATAAACTAAATCTTAAAATGAAGAATAAACTAAATCTTAAATAACTAAATAAACTTAAGGTAAAATTTAAAACAAAATATTACTAGAAACAATATAAAAAACTGTAAGACGACATATAGACTTTTTGAAGATATTTAAAAAATATAATTCAGCCAAACAAAAACTTAATGTGACTTTAAAGTGAAAAATAGAAACCAACAATAAAACAAACTTTAAGGCAACTTACAGATTTTTTTAATTGTATATTTTTATAGTAAAATTCAGTACAACAAGAGACGAAATTTTAAAAACAATATATATATATATATATATATATATGAAAAGAAGAATAAAGTAAACCTTAAAGTGTCATCAAGATTTTTTTTTAATAATTTATTTTAAAGATAAAGAAACTTTTATAGTTAAAAAAATAATAAGGTAAAATTTAAATCAATATATAAAATGGTAGAATAAACCAAACCTTGAGAGGTCACCTAGATTTTTAAAAATCTTACTTTATTAATAAAATAATTTACATAAAATTTAAAACAATATATAACAAGGGATTATGAGAAAATTTAAGGAAACATAAAGACTTGTTGAAGATATTTTTAAAATACAATAAATATATGACAACATCTATATCCTTTTACAGATATTTTTAAAACATAATTAAGCCAAACAAGA